TTAATACTAAATCTGGTCGATATGTCTAGCCAGTTATTATTGATGTAGCCAGATAAGTCGGCATTTATTGTTTGAAATGTTTTGGTAAGAACGTTTCATTTAAAACTCGAATCATATCTTCAAACAAACCGCTTAAGATAAGATTGACATCCTGACTGGGATTCAGAAACAAATTTTAAACGAGGTGCATTACTAGCAACGTTTAAGGTGGCTCTATACAGTTTTTAAAAAACAGAAAAAATTCACGATTTAGATCCGTATTTTTGGACAATAATTAATTGTTGAAAAACAAAAGATATTTCATTGAGGTAAAACAATATCTAAATGGTTCGAATTTTTCACAAAAGTTACGCAACTGCCGTTACTATGGCAACAAGGACGTTTCAAAATGGCGGAAATGTTGCTTTTAAACTAATTTAACTCGAAAACGACATCAGTGACCGCTTCATTGTATTCCATAAAATGATTTATTTTGTATATACAATTATTTTGATTAAAAAATTACGTTAAAAAGTTATTACGAATAATCTCATTGACGTAATTAAAAAAAAAATTGACTCAACAAAATTTTTTAAATTGTCAAAATAATTGAGCACAAGGGCGGACATATACTGGGGGTTGATCACGAAATGAGACCGACCCACCACTGAAATGTGATTCCAGACCGACTCTTGGTGAGTTGGTGTGTGGCAATAAAATTGGGTGGAAAGCATGGAAATTAATGTCATTTATTAGGAATTTTGCAAGAATACAGGTACAGCTACAATCTTGGACAAAACCCTTGAGACCATTCCAGCTAATATTACAAGGTTATTGAACATTGACAAAACAAACTTTGTCTCTCCCTATCCCCAGTTCAATGTTGTGAACAACGCCGAAACAACTTTGGAAATATACCATGATACAAGCTCAACATTGAGTTGGGGGAGCGGGGGTTTAAGAATGGCAACATGATTCAACATGGAGTTTATCATAAAAATACGCCAAGTTGTATAGGAGGAAAATAGTCTCAACCAGTTATGTCCAAGATTGTCTGAATGCGGGAATTTTACATGCATACCAATTGTTTGAGAGTTATGGTTAGAAAGGCAGATATGTTAGTGTTGCGATTGGGGAAAAATATTAAATATATGTTACACTGCAAGTACTGTAGATAACCGAAATGTTAACCATATTACTAATCATTCCAGGCGATGCAAAATTTATATTTATACTGTAAGTAAAGGAAAATTAATTAAGGAAGACATATAGGTGATAGGTTGATCACTTTAGAACTGATGTCGTTACAGTACTGGCATGAATACATGGATCTTATGTTCTTCTATAAAGCAATAAATGGTGTGGTTGTCATGTCTGAAGATGTTCTCCCTAAACCGATAATCCCCACGAGAGTAACTAGATTTTCCAGTGCCAGTGAGTTATCCTTCCCCCCCCCCCCTCCGAAAAAAAAAAAGCAGGACTAGGACTTTCCAGCGATCGTATATTACCCGCGTCACGAGAGTATGGGATTGTCTTCCAACAGACTTAAGACAACCAAATTTAAATTTAAGTACATTTAAGAGTTTGTTACGACAATATTATTCGAAAGCTCTGCACAGTTGTTTTGATGCAGAGGACTCAAGTAGGCCGTTAGCTGTGGCATGAAAACGTTCAGTTCCGTCGCCCCCATCGCGGTGCTCAAATATTTTAACGGGAATTAGGAGATTAAACTATGCTGATTTTAAATATCTTTGTTCCCACGCGCCAAAACCCGCTGTTTTTTCGCAATGTAAGGCCAAAGTTTGATATTTTCCTCCGCTAACCGCCATCTTGAATTCCGCGGTATGTTTGATCTTTCAACATTATTACTTGAAGTATTGAAAGTAACGTGGGCTCATAAACAACTCAAATTCATAAATATGGATGAAGTACCTAGCATAACGCTTTCTGCGCGGCAATGTTTTATACATTTTGAAGGTAAATTTGGCGAATTGTGTCATTTAACACATCATACAAATTAATACAACTTCTAAAATCTTAAAATATTATGAAAATTGGGTTGATTTCAATGATTTAGATGAGAAAAAGAGACTCAACTCGCGACAAATGTTTCGTAGCGTGTCAAACATTGGTCACTTATATTTTATATTAGACTACAGTGTACAATTTGTAGCGGATTATTTTGCCACTGACATGAATAACTGTTCAAAACTTTGTATTAGATAAATTATAATAAGAATTTGTACAATCACCTTTGTACAATTAAATTTGTAATTTTGTAAATTTTCACCAATTTGTACAATTAAATACACATAATTTGTAGGTTGCTTATTTCTCAATGGCCTGGTGATGTTCTTCCTTTATACTTCCTCACCACTCTAGTTCACCACTCGCACACAGTGAATGAGAAATCTTTATTATATATTCTTATTAAGGTGGCTCCCTAGGGTTTTTTAATTTACTACACTATAGTATTCAGGAGACTCCTGTTTCTTCACGTTACATGACATAAAAACGAAATTTATTGGACACATTGACAATGTTCTCCTGAACATTAAAAATTGCAACTTTTGTGTTAAAAATCTGTTGTCATGGCAACAACATGCTTAGAATAAAGCCCAAAATTTGTCTTTTTTATGTCATTTTGAAAATTCCCTTCGGTGAAATTTTTTAAAACTTTGCATAAAAGGTCATACTTGTATAATGATTTTTTCCCCTCAATTTAAAAAAATTAAATCGATACGTTTCTTAGAAAATTGAAAAAACGTCAAAAATCAATATTAAAAATTTTCCCTTCGATTTAATTTTTTTAAAAAAGGATATTGCACTTGCTGTGCCGGTACTAAAAAATGTGCAAAGTTTTAAAAAATTTTACCGAAGGAAAACGGAGAAATTTGGGATTAATTTTCGCAATTTTACTAGATTTGTACGCGAACAATTTAATACCCCAACTGACGTGTACAGGCATTCTGCATAAAACAACAAGACATGACTTTTTTGAAATCACAAAATACGAATTATGTTTGATATACTGTTTATAACTGTGTCGGTTATTGGTCAACTAAGCGAGGATTATACATGTAAAATTGGCAAAGGTATTTAGGTAATTATTAGTTATGATTTCTTGGTATTAATTTGAAAAATGTTTGTCAAAATTCGTCCCGTGCGAGGTCCCGTGCGAGTTAGTACATACGTCGGATGTTTTCGCAAAATGCCCGTTCAAATTTCAGTTTTTATGGTGGTATGTTTGGAGTTTCGGCCCTGCTTATTTCACCAGTAGAGGGCTCATTATTTAAGTCATCTTTATTGTCATAAGTGCTGCTAGATTGTGGAGAAAACACTGCAAATTCTTGAGAAAACTTTATATCATATCCCAATGTTCGCGATCGAACCTGGCGTACGGCGGTTCAAAAAACTTCCAGAATACCGCTTGAAAAAAAACAAGTTTACATTATCTTCTTTTGAAACATCACATCCAACTTTTAGAACTCTTTTTATGCTTTCAACTAAAGCAAAGTTCACACTTTTGTTTCAAAAGAGTTCCATATAAAAACACAACGTTCGTTCGAAGTCACACAAGTTTTAGTTTACATATATACGAAGAGTAACCCCCGGAAATAAAACCCTAGGGAGCCACCTTAAGTCATCCTTGTAACACTGCTGGACCAGACACAGACATATCAGTGGTTTTACCCCCTATGACGAAAACACCATTCACCAAACGGCAATATTTTATTCATTTTGAAGGTAAATCTGGCGATTTGTGTAAGTTAACACCTCATACAATTGCTAAAATTAGTGAATATTGCAAAAAGTGGATTGATTTGGATGGCGAACAAAGCACGATCGCAGCAAATATTGCCGAACTTATAAAACGTTGGTCATTCCATTCGGAAACGGAGCTAGTGCGAGATGAAATTGATACGGAAATTGCAAACTTGCGATATCACAAAGAGTGCTATGTTCGTTTTTGTGATAAAACAAAAATCGAAAGAGCCGAGAAAAGAATAATCAAGAAAAAGGCAATGACTGTCGATGCATCCACCAAAGGTGAACCGAGCACTCCTTTTGCTAACCGCCCGGCACCTGTGCATGTACGTATATCACCACGAACATTGATTAGCGGTAGCGAGGGAATTACCAGAAGAAACAGGCACGTCCTACCAGAACAATGCATAATTTGTAAGAGACAGGAAACGTACAAGGTGGACAAGGTACTGTAAAAATAACCTTATTATTATTATTATTATTATTATTATTATTATTATTATTATTATTATTATTATTATTATTATTATTATTATTATGATTATTATTATTATTATGATTACTATTATTATTATTATTATGCTATCCTTTCAAACCACTAATTAATTAGTTACAATTATTTTGTAGGCTACTAGAAAAAGAAAAATAGATAAACTGGTTCTGGCGGAAACCTTTGACGGAGGTCTTTTACGGGAGGCTGCAGAAAAGAAAAAGGATGAGTCAATTTTAGCACAAATTAGAGGTAAAGACTGTGTTGCCATAGAAGTACGTTACCACAGGCATTGCCATTTGGATTACTGCAGATTCTTAACCCGAAAATTGACAGTTAGTAAGCCAAATGATGAACTATACCAATCAAGCTACACTGCCTTCTGTTCGAAAGCAATTGACGAAAAGCTCCTTAAGAAAAAACAAATTATGAGAATGAGGGTATTACATGAGATCTTTGTGGAACAAGTTATGAAGACTGAAAGGCTTGATGCATCCAATTACCGTCCTACTCGTCTTAAGGCAAGATTACAAAGAGACTATCCACAACTTGTCTTTCACCGTCCTATAGTCAGAAATCGAAGCGAACTTGTCTTTGTTGAAGAGCTATCAGTAGGTGAAGTAGCAGAAACCTGTGGAACAGCAGATACTGAAGGAGCAGACTCAGAAGAGAGTGACAGCGACGAGGAAATGATTAGTGAAACTCCAATTGATAAAAAGGAAGTCACCTTGAAAGAGTATTATGATGTTGCTATGGCTTTACAGAATGCTATAAAAGGAGCCCGAGCTATGGATTCATCTTGGCCACCATCATCTGTCGATCTCTCCACGACCCAAGTGCTGAAGATGGTCCCAATTGTGCTGTTTAATTTTATTGCTTGGATATTGGGCTTCTCAGATTACCCAGAAATGTCATCTCATCTGAAACTAGAAGATTCCCACATGACGAAAGTCCTATCTATCTGCCAGGACATGTTGTACATAGCGTCAAACGGGAGAAAACAAACACCGAAGTCGCTAGCACTGGGTATGGCTGTAAGGCAGCTCACACGGTCATCACAACTCACGCAAATTTTGAATGGTTTTGGCCACTGTGCAAGTCATTCTGCCATCTTAACCTACGAAACAGACTTGGCTAAGTTAGCTATAAAATCAGACTGCTGTATTCCAAAAGATACAGAAAAACATAAATTTACTTGTCTGGTGTATGATAACGATGACTTCACAGAAGATTCTAGAAATCAAACCCATATACTCGGAGGTATATTAATTCAACGAGAGGATTTATCCGGCAATGGACCAGTAGTGGTTACACAGCAGCTAAAGAAGGGTGGGAGAACTCTTCAGGCTCCAAGTGAAAGTATAATTCCGTACAGCCTTGGCAAAAAACAGACACCAAATTTTTTAGGTACATCACTTTCATCAACTTTTTATGAAATCAACGTCTCATTTCATCAAGATCTTGCTAAGAGGTTGGATTTTGCCTACTTTCTGATGAAAATGCGCCAAAATCACGTCGGTACTGTACTTCCGGGTTGGACAGGTTTCAACATTCTTTTAAGGCAATCTGCAATACCACCACTGTCTCGAATCAGATACTTGCCAATAATTGATGGATCCCCCAGTGACTACTCAACACTGTACACTGCTCTTTTAAAGAGCATCAATATTGCTGATACGCTGTCTCTAGAGCACATCGTTCTGGTTTTTGATGAAGCAATCTACGCAAAGATTCAGCAGATTAGGTAAAGATTTTAGTCTATGGTGAATGACAGTTTTACCAAGTTTCTCGAATTCCTATTTACTGGCAGCATTAATGCAATACATCTCGCTTTCATGTTTGACATTAATTGTTTGTTTCCCTTTATATCTTAAATTAGATGGAAAGATGAGATTTTTATGAAGAGGTTCGTTGTCAGACTTGGGGAATTCCATGCCACCATGTCGTTCCTGAGTGCCATAGGAAACATGTTTAGAGATGCTGGGTTACAGGTATATGTTCTCTTTTATACATTTGTGAGAAATATAACTTTACATTATTAAGGTAGCTGTATTTTTGTAATAGTGAACTTGCATTGTTTTAGGACATACTTATCGAATCCGATGTTGTTGGACAAGGGCAAATTAAAGGTGTAATGACTGGAAAGCATTATAATAGAAGTATGCATTGCCACAAAGTAATGAGCGAAGCCCTGCACAGACTTCGATTCCAAGCATTCTTAGATAGTGTTAGTGATGAAGAGTCCGCCAATATCTACTCAGTCGTGTCTGACCTGCTGAATAATTTTCCAAGCGAGGATTTTGAGGAGAAACTTACTGCGGAACCATTCTCGGAAATTCTTGATAAGTATGAGGACTTTGTGGTTCAGGAAAGTGAATGTAACCCAACGTTTTCATTGTGGAGTACCTACCTTGAAATGATCGGTATTCTTCTTCAATTTGTACGGTGAGCTTATTAATTGAATTGCGAAGGTTTGCAGCTAAAATATTTTTAGTCCTCAAGCAGCTTTTTTGCTCATAAGTTGCATTAGGGAATTAAAATGTTTTGACTCCTTTAGAGCTACACGAGAAGGAAATTGGGAACTTCATCTATCAACAATGCGTTCAATGCTTACATGGTACTTTGGATGTGATCGAGTGAATTATTGCCGTTATGGAACGGCATATTGGCTTGAAATGACAAGACTACAAGAGACACATCCAAGTAATACACGGTTAATGCAGCCATATTTTTCATTTGATACTTAGTCTAGCATTCACAATTGTAGTATCGCAATGAAAAATAGGCTGGTACACTGAGTGGTGTGAAATCATTACATGCTATTGAATTAATTATGTGAATAGGTACTTGTTTGCACCCTTTTTCCCGTTTTTAGCATTATTGAGAGATCTTCGCGATCAATGGACAGTACAACGCCAACAGAATCATGGGTTTTCCTCTGTCGCATGCGATATGACTATTGAACAAACCTTAAATAGAGATTCAAAAACAAAAGGAGGTAAGAATAAATTCATTTACAGTTCGCCAGTGGTAACTGTACCCACTCTTAAGGGGTACATATTCTTAATATTTCAGGAATGGTTGGAATAACGTTAAACAGGGGTGCTATGCAACGATGGATTATTGCTCAATCTGATAGGTCTGCTATCACAGGAGAGTGTATGAAAATGGCCGGCACTGATCCAACTAAAAGGTATATAATGCAAAATAACTTTTACTATTAACAAGTACATGACTATTTTTATTTAATCACAAAATTTACA